TTGTTGCAAAATATGGACCTAAACTGAGACTTGCTACAAACCCACACGGTGCCTGCACAGTGGGGTTCATAGCCAAGACCCTGGGTTGGATTGATGTAGAAGCCAGCAAGTAATGAAGAAAAAGGTTTTCAAAAGCTATTAATGATTTTCGGAGTCTAACTAGAAATGTGGTGGAACTTAGGAGGTTTGGATGGGGTGGTGACTCAGCATTAATGACTTTGCAAGATGTTAATCATTTACTAATAGATAGAAATACCACTTCTAAATGAGTAGAATATTAGTTTTCATGAGCTTTAGTAGTTAGGAAGTCACTGCTAGGGCAGTTACTCTATAGATGTGAAGGGTTTATTTTAATTTTGTGGGGAAAAAAAAATAATAAAAATCCCTCCAGAGAATCTTACTGGAATAATATTGTTATCAACGTTTTTAGAATATAAACTCTGATACAATTCTGAAGAATTCTATTAATTGCTGTAGAGGAGGTTGGTGTTCAATACTGCAAACAAAACTGAGTTGTTTCAGAGTCAAGAAAAGAAATGTTTGGCACATAATGAAATGATAGAAGTCATTACTTACCTAGGAGTCTCTTAAGTGTTGCCGATTGCTCTGCTATGTGTGATTGATTCCCTTGGAGGAGCCAAAGTTTGATCCCCAGCTGTGATCCAGTCTCTCTCAAGCTTTGCATCTTCATAACAAAAGCCAAGAGTAGATCAAGGAACCATGTAGACCAGGCTTGGGAAGTTGTCATAGTGTGGGCATGAGCTGCAGTGCTGCGGTGATTTATCTTAACTGAATGCTGGCTCCCTTTCACCACTTCGAAGCTATAAGGAAAATTTATTGGGAAAGTTAGGGTCTCATCATGACATAAGGTTTTAAATCCATAATGAAAAGGTGTGTCTGTAATGTGGTATGTTCCTTTGTGCTGCGGATTTTGTTTGTGTTACATTTAGCATTGCTGCACATCTTCTTTGTGCAACTGCAAAAAATTCTGCAGTTTGTGGAACTGCAGAACTCTGGAGAAAGTGTTGAAAGGGACCTAAATGTTTTACTCATGCTAACACATAAAAGGATGCCAAAGGCCATTCTTGGCAGACAGACCAGCTAGCTTAGTCTGCTTGCATCTGTGCATTAAAGCTCTCTTAACTTTTAAGGAAGGTGACTACATCTAAACTGCTCTTTGGGAGTCATCTCTTGTTTGTCTGAACTGCTGCTGCTACTGATGGGCCAGCTACCCAAGAATTGCTTGGGAGAGTGCTTGTGTGCCAAAAATATACCAGGTTTTTGTAGTTTGAATAGATTCAGTCTAAGCAATCAAACGATGAGATCTGTGATGTGATTTTACTTACTAGGACATGAGCACAGTGACGGTGTCTTTAATTGTGATAACTTTCAGTGTTTTATTGTGTAGTGTCCAGAAAAGAAAGGTGGAATGGTATGGGGGAAAAGCTGGGTTGCAAAGAAGGGGCCGGGAAGGGTGCAATTACCAGCTTTCTCAATGTGTGTGTACAGCTTGGTGTACCTGTACAAAAGAAGCAGATGACTCAGGTGGTGGTGCTTTTGAACTAGATTGGTCATCCAGTAGAGTTGGAGCTTCAGGAAGGACTGAAGATGATATTGTTAAGGCTACTCTTTGTAAAGTTACATACTTAAGTAATAATGTAGCACCCAATGCTTTATTTTTTACGTATTTTCCACAAAACAATAACATCTGAAAAATGATGGCTGTCTTAATAAAAAAAAAATTGGAGTTATTCCCTCAGCAGGGGATGCTAGTTAGTTTGACATGAAAAATGATGCTAGAAAATACTTTTAATTTCATAATGGATGAATCATTTGGGTCTGTGGAGTGTTTCAGACCATTTGAGAATAATGGCAGAAGCATTACAGGCTGCTCTCACTTGCTGAAAGCTTTGATCGAAAGGATTTTGAACTTTCCCAGCAGCGAAAAATAGTTTATGCTCTGTCTACTAGCTTGCTTCCACAGTATGAAAACAAGTTTTGCTAAATCCAGTGTGATTAACAACCAGGCAGTGGGTTTAACCCATGACATAAACCTTGTGCTTATTGCTGAAGTCACTGCTGCCTGGTTAGTGTGTGAAAGATGTCTTGGAGATGCCAGAGTGAATGTTAAACCAAAACCACAGGCAGCCTCTCTGGGGTTTGAGGAATGTTGGTTTCCTGGAGTGCTGACACAGTATTGCCTGACTGTAGGTTGTCCAATCAATTTCAGCTTTGGTGGGTCTGTGCAAAAGCTAGGAAAGAAGGGCCCATATTTTGAGTCTGAGTCCCATTTCTGAACTATCCCCCTACTAGAACTCCCTTTTGCTCTCTATGTTGGAAATATGAAACCATTTTTGTGTGATTCCCATAGGATTAATCTGTCATCCTCTTTTAATTCTGCAGTGATTTTACAAGCATGGGCCAGGTTCAGCCCAGTCTGGACTTAATGTCTGGCACTAGTGAACTATTTGAATGTGGCTTTTTTTTTTTTTTTTTTGTAGGGATAAGAGGCTTGCACTGTATGGAAGCAAGCTGTGCTGTTCCACTTGGTCACAGAGCTTGAGGATAGCGTCTCACTTTTAATTCACCAGCATAAAAATAATCTGTGCCCTAAGACAGGGCAGGCAGCGTGGTTGGATCTGTCATGAACGAGAGCATTTCCATAATTCTCCTTTGAGGAGCTGAGGAGATCTGCTGATGTAACCTGTTAAGAGGATGTGAGTTCTCTTTGTTTGGATTGGTTACCCGTAACCCTCCAAAAAAGCAGGTGTATATCGAGTCCCAGCAAGTACTCCTTCTCCAAGAAAAGGAAGTCACATCTGTGTTGCACCTAGAAATTTTGTTGCTTATGCAGGCCAGGCGTCAACTGGTGTCAAATAAACCATGTAATTTGGAATCTAAATGTGGCCAGCTTTAAGTTTAATGCTAGCACAACAAGAAATAAATTTCTTATTTAGGTTAGACAAATCCTTCATAGAAACTGGAAGTATTTTTCCAAAGCAGAGATAACTAAAAAAAAATCTACTAACAGTAACAGTGTGTGTGTAGTGCTGGCTTCTTGGAGAGTTCACATGCGAGCTATGAAGATAATTAGGGGGTTAAAGTTTACGACTTGCAGGGAGAGTCTTGGAAAGTTAATTCTGCTCAATCTTTAGGGCAGTCAGCAACCTGCTGGGAATACCATGGAAGCAGGATTTGTTCAGAGGTGCAGAGTGATAAAACGGGGCAAAGGGCACAAGGCTGTGGGAAATTCTAGTTAGATACTGGGTAGAAAATCATCGCTATGAGGATGTGGTAACAGATGCTTGGTAAGGCTGTGAAATCTCCATCCTTGAAGGCAGTGAGAGCTCCATTGGGATTCTGGGCCGAGCTGCCCCTCCTTTAAGGAGGGCTGTGGTACATGGGACTCTAGAAGCCCTTTTCTAATCTGTTGTTCCAACAATTATGACACAACACAAGGTGCATCATGAGTTTAAAGTTCTCAGTGCAACAGCTCTCTGCTGGATTTACATTTAGGAAAAGTATGTTACTAATACACTTGCTGTAGGAGCCCAGGATGCTGCTGCCAGTTGGATACTGGAGCATTGAATATTATGACCTTTTGCTATCAAGTTTTCACATTTTGACTTATCAGTGGACTTATTACTTCCTAGGTGCCTGAGTGCAGATTTACGGATTTCAGCATTAACATTTTGTGTAGTGCCAAATACTTTGAAATAGACAGGTCAGTTTTCATGGCATTCTTTTAATAGTTGTTTTTTGGTTTGTTTGTTTGTTCTCTTCTAAGTATAAATCACTGTTAAAAATCAGAGTTATTTTTGAATCATTTCATACTTGCATCATTTTGTTGTTACCAAGAGAGCACAGCTGAAAGAAGCCTGTGTTGGAGCTGCTGCTTAATGCGTGCTATGCAGCTCAATGCAGTGACTGTCTCAGACTGAGTTTGATTCTGTTCTCATCAGCAGTGTGAGTTTTACTGTTGCCTGCCCTCTCTGTTGGTATCCAGGTGATGTGCAGCCCTGTAAGGGACATGTATGCCAGGCATTCTAAGTGTACGTACTGAGCCTACAAGAGCAGTCTTGAAATCACTATCTCAGGATCTGCAAGAGGTATTGGAAAAAACAAAGGAAATAACACAGTCCATGGAGTTTCTAGTGCTCTGGAGAGCATCTGCTTAAACTCATTCATATTTTGTGACCCCTTAAAGGACTTGTTGGATTTATGAGTGTCTTGTGTAGGGACTGCGTGTGATGAGAATATGTATTAAAAAGGGAGGAAACTATACTAATTGGGAGAGGAAGGGAAATAAAACCAAGCAGCCAACCACTTTAACCATCAACACGTGCCTCATTTTTTATAAACTTGCTTGTACTAAAAAGATATTCTAAAAGATTGGTAGAGTTGTATTTAGAAAGCACTCCAAAGTTCAGAAGCTCTGGAGTGCCGAAACATATTGCATTCTTTATGCACATGTGTCTTACAATATACTTCTAACAGCAGAAATCTCAGCTAAGTGGGAGAATAGTCTTTGTCTTTAATGCAGTGAAAAAGGAGATCTGCTTAGAATCATCCCTTGCCCTGCCCTTAAAAGCCTGTAGAAATACGAGAAAAATATATTCCATTTTTAGAGCACGATAAATGATAGGAGGGGATGTTTTATGCTGCAATAATGCTTTTCTCTTCAGCGATAAAGTAGAAACTCTTACGAGCTGCAGTCTGAAAGTCTGACTGTGGTTTTGAATGCAACTAATGTTACAAACTTTTGGAAGCTGTTATAATTCTGAGAGTTAAAAGGTTCTTTTGTTTTTGTTTTTTGATAACTCTCCACACCTGTGTCAGCTCTAAATAAAGTCGTTGAGAAATCCTGATTTCATGTGAAGTTATTAATTAATGAAACAAGAGAATAACCCTTGCTGGAATGTAAAATGTCTCGATCTCAAATGTCTTTACAATATAAAGCAGAGCTCTAAACCTAATCTGTTTTATCTGTTGCTTTTCAGGTCCAAACCATGAACTACGTTGGACAGTTAGCAGGGCAAGTGTTTGTAACCGTGAAGGAGCTCTACAAGGGACTAAACCCAGCCACGCTGTCGGGATGTATTGATGTAATTGTTGTACGTCAGCCGGATGGAAATCTTCAGTGTTCTCCTTTCCACGTCCGCTTTGGGAAAATGGGAGTTCTGCGTTCCAGGGAGAAAGTGGTAAGAATTGACACTTTGGATATTTTCTGTCTGTGATTTGACTCCAGTGGTATGAAATTTACTAGATACTCTGTATGTTAGACAAGATTTTCTTTGGACATTCTTTACAAAGTGCTCAAATTGAAGCAATTTTCACTTAATACAGTTATTACAGACTGCCACACTTCTAAGCATAATTTATAAGACGTTGACTGTAATAATAAAAAGGAACCATGAAATTTGTAGTGTTTATTTTTAATACAGCAGAACTTTGTGTTAATTTGGGCATATTCTCAATTTCATTAGTGACTACGTTGAAAGATGACTTTTTATACTATGTGCATTGGTATTTATAAAAAAAGGGATTTACAATGAAGTAATATTTTTGAGGTAAAGAATATTAAGACAAATTGAAGCTAGAAAAAGCAATGAGGACTTCAGATAAATGTAATCAAGCTGAACGGCCTGGCCATACAGTGTAGGATCAGAAGTTGCCAGTGACTAATGCATGACAGATTATTTTAGGAAATAATTCATAAGCACATATAGTTTGAGCTGAGAGCGTATCTGTAATTATTCAGCAGAAAAATTGAAATGTCATCATTCTTTAAGTCTTACCGAAATCAAAAAGGAATGCAAACAATTAAAATGGATAACAGTTCAAATTGTTCCTATGCCAAACACGTACAATTTCTGGAAATGTAAATGTAGGTTGTCCAAGTCTCCCTCCATAAATACAGTGAAAAAGAAGTTAGTGGCAAAAATGGTTATAAGCAAAGAGAGAAATGTTCCTGAGAAGAAATGGAAATGGTTGGTGCTGTACAGCTCTAAGATAAATGCATGGAAGAAATCAATATGTGGATCATGTTGAGAATAAAAAAACACTTTTGTTTTTGCTTCTCATAGTACTTAATTAATTTGAAAGACAGGATATTAGAAATTTGTAAGTGAAAGCACTTTCTGCACTCTGGAAAATTAGGCTGTGAATTAAAAGGGAGAAAAGATTTATGTGGCAAATGAAGCATCTAGAATTTCAATTAAAAAGATTCAGGGCTTTATGTAATGGCTATAAACATTCCTGGGGAGCTAGACAACAATGAGCTGAATAAGTTAGGGCAGCATCCTGAAAACTGATGGCCTTGTGAAGGGCAAGAAAATTCCCCTACCCCTTCACAAGTGTAGTGGAGTGGTTTTTTTTGTTAATGAGGAGGCTTCCTGTGCTGCACTGAGAAGTGTTTGTCCATTGACAAAAGGTAGGATAGCTGAACAGGAACTGTGTATCTAAAACAATGTTGTTTTAATTTTCAAAAATGTTACTGACTTCCAGGTTGACATAGAAATTAATGGAGAGGCTGTAGATTTGCACATGAAACTAGGAGACAATGGAGAAGCCTTTTTTGTGCAGGAGATGGATAACGATCAGGTAAGAATCAAAATTCCCGTTTGTTAAAACACAGTGCTTACTCTTCAAAGTCAATTCTGAATTTAGAGGTTTTGTTGAAAAATATATTTTTATCCATTCTGTAAGTTTGAAAGTTTCTGGATATTTTTCTGCTATTGGAACTCAGTACTGAACTTTTTCTTGATTGCTGAGGTTGGAAAGAACCTGAAGAAAATCATCACATAACTAAAAATTAGGGGCTTATATGCATTTCAGTGTGTGAACAGAAATAACATGTACACAGTTTATGTGATCCAAAGATGCGTACAGCAGAGGATGGTATTTTCACAGCTTCTTTTTTCTCTCAGAAATCTTGACTTTGAACACATATACTCAGCAGACTGCCAGCATAAAGTGCATGTGCCTTGTAAACTTTTGTGTGCAGAGTAATTGTGGTACTCGCCAAAGACATGATCCTGCAACTATAATTCATGTGAATTGTATTTAAATGAAAATTTCTGCTCTTGAACTGTGGAATTAAGTACTAGTCTATGTAAGTTACGGTCACACTTGTTTTGAGTAGTCCCTGTGTGAAGTAATCTATCAGTAAAGCCCTTAATTTTTGTTACTGTACGAAGTGGAATGAATTCTCAAATTCTTCTACAGAGGAATCTTGCTGAGCTTCCAGATATCAAATCATTGTTACTTTTGAGTGATGTCTTAAATTTTGTTGATTGTGTGTGGATTTTAGATCTATATTTATGACTGACAGAAGAACTAACTTTTTTGCATGGTTTGGATTTCTTTCTCAGGAAGTAATTCCTTATCATCTCTCTACGTCCCCCATTCTGTCTGAGGGAACTGTGTTAATGGAAGCTCAGCTGAAGAGGAACTCAATTGACAGGATAAGAAACCTGGACAACAGTGTATCCTCACAAGTACCACCCCAAGCTCATGGATCCCAGCCTGGTAATGAAACATCTCCAGTCTGTAGCTCTGTGAAAAAGAGAAGGAAAAAGAGGAGGAAGTCTACCCACAAATTAGACAGCTTAAAAAGAGAAGACATTGGAGACACATCAGAAGATGAAGACATGTTTCCTATAGAGATTAGCTCAGAGGAAGAAAAGGAACCATTGGACAATTCAAGGTATCACAGTGGAATGGAGATGTATAATGGAAACCTAATGCAGGGTTAATGTTCCATTCTGTACCTCTGACAGTAATTTTGAAGTTGGTACACATGGCTGGTAAACATTCTCTCTAAGAAACAGCTTTTGGCTAGAAAGCTATCAGAGTGCTACTATCAGGAATAATGAAAATGCCACTTAAAAAAAAAAAACAAAAAACAGTCTTTAGTCATGCTGTGGGCTAGGAAGGTGTGAATCAGATGACATGTCTCTGTCTTTTTACTTCAGGTTAAGTCAATTCTTCTTTGCAGTACGTGTTTTTCCCCCCTTTACTCCCACCCCAGCTGTTTGTAGTATGTAATGGTTGAGTAATAAAATGTTTTTTTTTTTTAATGTCATGTCTCTTCCTAGGATTCTTGTTCCGGATGTGTTTGTTGATGATGTATCTGATATAAAGGCACCTGCTGTGTCTACTTATTCTCAGTCCTCATCATACCCTCGTTCGGATGGGGAATGGTCACCTATTCAAAGGTAATTTTCTGATGGTACAGTCCTAGATAGTTCTCTTTTCATTAATTTCTTACATGCTAGTGCTATATGAAGTCTTACGAAAATTTTGACAACAAATGTGATCACTGTCAACTGCTAGATGAAATCACATACTGTAGAACAATTTCAGGTTAACTCTGCCCTTGATTCAACGAACACGTGCATACAAATTCAGGCCCACAAATTCTAAAGAATACTTATGTGCAAGCAGTGGTATTAACAGATGTGTGTACTTCAAAGAGGATATATGTGTTGTCAAAGCTGAATCTTTACCTGATGCACACACTTTCTAAGCACTTCAGTCAATGCAGAGATGTAAAACTTTAAGCACTTTGAGTATACTCAATAAGTATACTTTGATTATACTTATTTTTTTAAATGAATGTTCATGTCCATTCCTGGTATTTGGGAAATACCATCAGAAATTGATATCTTGTTGTCAGTTGCATTCATTAAAATAAGAATGAAGAGTGTGTGTGTTTATGTGGCTGTACACCACTTCAAGTGGGGTAGTATCAGTAAGACTTTATGGTATGTCTTAACGAACTGTCTCTGTGGGTGAGGAATGGAAGAAAGGAAAGCAAGGAAATGATTTTAGAGGCTTAATTTAGATGTTTTACATTGCATTCTATAATAAACTTTCTGCACTGACTGTATAGCTTACTGATATTAGCTGGTGATAGTATGTGTCAATACCCTGCCTCCTCAGTGGCTTTTTTTTTTTTTACTGTACGTTCTGTTTGTTTCTGGATTGCAATATTCTGTATTTCAAAAACTCTAGATGTAAATTCATCGTTTACATAGCTAATACACAAAGAGCTTATGTTAATCAGCACTAGTTGTGAATAATGACACTGTTTTATTTCTTTTTTCTTACCAACATGTTGTGTTGTCCAGTAAACCTATAGATTGCACAGGGCAATCCTCTCTTCTCACTGTTCCAGTAGATGGTGGCCTATCTAACTCTTGTCCTCATCAGTCTTCTCATTTTTCTCCTCCAGACAGGTAGAACAGTTGTTCTCCCACTTTTCTGTGCTATTCTTTAATGCTTTTAATGCATTAATATGCTCTTGGCGCATTAATTGCACGTGAACTTTGCTGTATTTATAACTGTACTCATTGCTAACCCAGACACTTTCATTAAAGTGACTTTGGAAATCACTTCCTCTCTTCTTTGTGAGTACTGGCTAGAGGTAAGTTGCCTTGAATCACACGTTGAATGAGGGTAGCTAATGTATCCATCAAATCAGGGCACTGAAGACCTAGTTTAAAGATAAGTTTATTAAGATGATACCCCCCAAAAAGGAGAAGGAACTTAGTGAAGTTCTGCAGTCCTCTGAAGACTGGCATTTCCATGTGTCTTTTTACAGTTAATATGTATTTAAATGGCATTTCTATCCATTGTTTCTCCTGAGGAGTTTACTTCTTCACCAGCGAAAGTGAAAGCAAAACACATCCTTTAAAACTCAGAAATACAAATTCTGCTTTTTTTTTTTTTTTTTTTTTTTTTTTTTTTTTTTTTTTTTTTTTTTTAAATGGAAGGAGCCAAATGTCAAAACAGAACCTCTTTTTCTCTTGTTGCTTGTTTTGAAATACTCTCTGCACATTGGATTGGAATGGGGTGCATCTTAGGAGGAAAGATGGCACAACAGATAGAGCCTAAAACTTGGGAGACCCACAGTTATGCCTTTGCTGTAGTGTGGGCATCCTCTGACCTTGGACTTCTTACAAATCTGAAAGTGGATACAGATATTTGTAGATGCCTTTGTGTTCAAGGTGTCTCAAGGTTCTGCAGCCAGGCACTTTCTTTCCAGTTAGTGGAGAGATGTTACAGCAACTAAGCAAAACCTTCTAAATTATGTGTCTGAATATGGTCTTGGTTCTCCTTTAGTGCTGGGGAAGCTTTGAGTAGTGAATCAGACTAAATTGCACGTTGCTTATCTCAACATAGATACCAAGCTAGATACCAAAGGTAGTATTAAAAACTGAAAATCTTAAGGGTTTCCCAGCTTGGAGATCTACTTTTTATAGCCTAAACAGCCATAACAACAGCTACTCTGTGTGAAATCCTGGGGTAGTCGGGGATGTTCTCCCCAGTATTTTCATGGGAAGGTAGAGCATGTGCACAAGTGGGCCTTGAACACATAATGTGCCCTGTATGGCTCCATCAAATTTGATCTGGAGTTTAGCTGTCCTGCAGTTGAGACTTGCAGCTAAAGTGCTGTAGTGACTGGTCTAGATAAGGCCCTCTCTGTCTACAACTCCTTTGCTCTGTATGAGATCAGAAATGCTACTGTGACCACTCAAAAGGAAGCTCAAATTCTGAACAGTTGTTCTGGAATGTAAATGAAGTACCTCCCTTTCCTTCTGCCTATCTTTTTGCAGTTTGTTTGACTTCAGTCAAGTCAGGACTTTTTTTGCAGATCACACTGCTGTTTTCTTGGGCTTTCCTTGCTTTCAGTAGGAAGTATTTCTTAGATAACTGTGGTTTCCTGCTATAGAGCTGCTAGCCACAGTCCAAGTTCCTAATTCTTTGACATCAGACTACATTCATTGCATGCACAGCTTGTATGAAGAAATCTATAGGTCTGGGACACCAGTATTTGGTGTTTATGGATTGGATATGTGGATTGGATAGATTGCCTAAATGATTGAGTTTGCCCTTATGCATTGCTGACGGGACTGGTAGCTCTAGTTTGATCTGCATTATCTTCAGCAATCTGTAGAAGGGGGTGGAAATTCAGCTGAGCTGCATCAGTGCCTGACTTGAGAACAGAAGAATTGTATGAAAGGCAAGGTATAGCTTTGCCTGAGTTACAAATGTCTTGATGGTGTAAGAAATAAAAATCCTTTGGAGTCTTTTATTTAGGGAATTGCTTCTAGATTACTATCGCTGAACTACAAATCCTATGTGATCTTGCAGTTCAGCTTTATTGACCTTCCTAGTGCGAGTATAACACTAAAACAAGGTTTAATTTCATATAGTATTTTCAGTCTCTTCTATTGTAACTAGCAATAGGACTAGAGGGAATGGACTCAAGTTGCATAGGGGAGATTCAGGTCTGACATTAGGAAATAATTCTCTGAAAGAATGGTCAGGTGCTGCATGGGCTGCTCAGGGAGGTGGTTGAATCACTCACTCTGGAGGTGTTCAAGGAATGTTTACATGTACTGAAGAACATGGTTTAGTGGAGTAAAAAAAAAAAAGTGGTTGTGAGCTTTATTAGCCTCCAGTATGATGTTACTTTGGTAGCAATATTTTGAGGGAAATAGCAGCTAAAATAGTCCTTGCACAGATAAAGGAGACAAATCTGGTGTCACATACGTGCAGGTAGAACTATGCAAACAGACAGTAAATAAGCAAGACTATAGTTTGCATAATTGCCTTCTGCACACATAAATTGCTGTTGCTGTTCCAGAAGGGTATTATGTGGGGAGAGAGTAGCTGCTGAGTGTTAAACAAGATAGTATGAAGTAAGAAGGATATTTCTCTCTAATAGAAAAACAGCTTTCACTGGAAGGTCTCTAACTCTAACTCTAAATGCTAATGTTTCTCGATGGCTTGGAAAATTCCAGTTTATATTCTAGATTATATAAAAGGTAAAAATGTTTTAGTATTCTTTTTGTAAACAAGACCATAGTTTATTCTCTTTACCTTATAGATGTGTTTACATTCTGATTTGATATCAAATCTTTTACACTGAGATGCCATTGTAACGGTAATTATGGTCTCGTCTGGTATTGTGTTAGTATTTATTCCATATAAAATGGGTATTGTACTTGTGTTGAAAATTCAAGAGGTGATGTGTGCTCTGTTTTAGGAGAGTGGGTAGTAGCCTTTTGCATCAGGAGCTTTCTCAGAGCAGAACTCAGTGTTAACGTATGCTGTTTCAAGCACCTACACATGAATGTCTGGGAATAAATGTCACGGTTCTTCTTCACTTAATTGTGTGTGTAAGAAAACTGTGTTTTCAGAGAAAATTCTGGGAAATGCAAGGCCCCTCTGCTCCACTCCTTGGTCTGTATTCTCACTGCAAAATGCAGTTGCTAGCCCAAACTGAATTAATGCCTGTATTCTCTTCAGTTGTCTGGCTGAGTAAGGTGGGAGTTTGATCTGAATACACCCCAAAGCCTGCCTGGACAGAAGGCTTTTTTGAAGTAGAATAGGTGTTTTGAAAGTTAAAATGTTTATAATGCACTGATTTGTGTGGTGATAATGCTTCCCTGAAGTTAGATTTTTGGAGCATAAAGTTGCAATAGGATCACTGTTGGTAAAGACTTTCTTAAGTGTCCAGATTCCTAACATGCAAATTTTCAGTGGGCCCTAGATGCATATTGCCAGTTCTAGAAATTTGCTAGTGGGCTAGTGAAAGATATTGAAAATGCCACCAGGCATTTCTTAAATCCTCGGAGCTTGAAATTGCCTTTTACAACGTATTTCATTAATTCCTTCATGTGTCAGATGGTACTTTATGGACTAATGAGTATTTGGTCCTTTTATAAACTCTATAATTTAATCATTTGTAGCTGAAGAGTGTTCATGTTTCCATATTCAAGATATGTCCCAGTACAGCAGATTTAAAAACAAGCAATAATGCAGATAAAGTTGATAATATTCAGGACTGAAGTTCACAGGTCTTTCAAAGCTGTTTTGTGTAAGTGCATAGTAGTTATTTGCCTGTAACCAGTGAGTTCCTCACCATGCTCTACAAAACTGTCCTGTTTTGGAAGAGCAAAGCTATTTTGGATATTCATTTGGATTCAGTTTATTTAGAAGAAAGTTTTAAAAAAAAAAAAAAAAAAAAAAAAAAAAAAAAAAAACATAAAGAACTTGGACCAATGTAGAAAGCTTTTTAACAGTAAAGATAACTCAGCTTTGAACCCTTGATCTATGAATGATGTGGATTATTATTTTTTTTTCTTGTGGTTTGTGAATCAAGATGGAATGAATATACCAATGACTTCTCAAACAGCCATAAATTCTGTGGCTCAAAAAATAATGGGCTTCAGAGATTTTTGGGGAAATTCTAGGAGTTGCATCACGCAGAAAGGCAGAGTAGATAATTACGATTTTTCCTTTTACCCTTGAAATCAGTGCATCATTTATTAAGGACTAAATTGACTTCACTTTGTTGACTTCAGATTAAAAATATGCTGCAAAACTGATAATCTCCTGATAAATAAATGATTTTATATTCCAATACAGCAAAACAAAAAGTTAAATATTTTTCTGCTGGGATCACTCAACTTCTTTGTGTACTACTCCTGCTGTTTTCCCTATAAATATGTATATGGGGATGGAATTGAACAAGTCAGTAAAAAGTAATAAACTGAATACCTTTAGGTTAATTACTTAGTCAGGGTAAGGTGTCTTGTTGATCCGAGTGAATCACTTCTATACTTCATGTCCATTGTAACAATACTAATATCTCTTCATCTACTGCTTCTGGTGCCATCCCCATTCCAAATTCTTTTTTTTTTTTTACATAGGAAAAAGAATCTTCTGAAATATTCAGGTCCTGTGCTCATCTCATCTTTTTCATCTTCTTGAAGTCTGCTTCTGTGATGGCAGTTACTAAAAGATGGCAGATTATGAGACCACTGTGTGCTAGTATTAAGAAGATCCTGAACTGTTTGAAATGTTTTTCCTTGCTTTCATACTGTCTCAGTTGGCTGATAATAATCATAAAACTTCCAACACTTTGGACTGGTGCATGTCAATTTGTAATGTGCTTACTGTGTCACGGTTATTTTTGGTTTTGTAGTGTTTCTGTAGTAAGTACTACTTCTTTTCTTGTTTATTTTTCTTCAGTCCGTCAGGCTCACGTCCTCCTACTCCTCAAAGTGATTCAGAATTAGTCAGTAAATCTACAGACAGGAGTGGACTAAAGAATCCACACATGCACTGGGCCTGGGGAGAGCTACCACAGGCTACGAAGGTATGTGGTTTAATCAGTTTAATTCCTTGCTGGCATCTGTTGTGCTTTGATTGGGCAAATGTGCTTACTTTATTGCAGGCTCCTGAAGGGAGAAGAGATCCCATTTTCACATGAAATTGTAAGGTTTCATGTAAGAAAATTGCGTTTTGTTCCTAAAGAGCCTTAGATGCAAAGTAGGTGCTTGGTGTTAGCAGTTTGATTCACCAAAAATGAAAGTGGCTGTTTGAGTGTATATATATCCAGAAACACCTGCAATTGTCAACAAATCTTCACATGCCCAGATGTGCAGCTTTCTTGGATGTCCTGACTTGACTGGCTTGATGCCTGTGTCCAGCCTGAGGCCATCTGGCTTTTCTGAGAGCTCTGCTAGATGGCAGGATCTGTGGTGTGCCAGCAGCATTGTCTGCCAAGCCATATGCAGCTGAGTGTGCTGCTGGTCAGGTGTGTCTATCTCCTTATGGGAGCTGCTGAGTCAGAGCATTCATTCAGGACAAAAGATTGAAGACTTGTACCTGCCTGTGGGTGAGAGAAACAAAGATGATAGAATCGTTAAGATTGGAGCAGATCTTAAGGTCATCTAGTCCTGTTGTAGTACTTAGAGACAGGTTTGGTGGACATCTACCCTTTCCTTAAAAGCTTCCAGAGATGGTGACTCCACAACTTCCCTGAGCAGCCTGTTCTAATACCTCATGACTCTTTCTGGGAAGAAATTTATTCCTAATATCAATCTGAACCTCCCCTTATGCAACTTGAGGCCTTTCTCTCTTGTCCTATTGCTAGTTACAAGGACATGTTGCAGCTACGGGGGCACAGAGTATGCAGCTTTTGCTTCTTTCTGCTGAAGGCTGGCTTTTCTGCAGGGAGGACTGTAGGAAGCGATGGGACAGGAGCAGAATAAAGGGACAACCCAGGCTATGCAGGCCAGCAAAGTAGGCCTTGCAGATCTTATTCTTAGAGACTCTTCCCTTTGCAATCCCTATCTGTGTCGCTAACCAAGCTATTGTGAATTTATCTGGCCATGTCTGAAGTGGGAGTTATGCTTTGGATGCTCTTCATCACCTTGTAAATGTTTGCTTGCTCTGACACGAAGGTTACAGTAGCCGTACAGCTGCTGTTGTAGTGCAGCTCTCTCTGTAAGAAGGCCTCATGTCTTGCACTCTGGGGAGATCTAGAATTGTGCCTATAGATTGCTGAAAAATCTTAACCTGGAGTATTGATAAGTTACAGCAAGCCACATCTTTTTCCCTGGGAGCATCCTGATTGTATGAGAACTCTAGTTAACAATGTTTGTCAGGGTTACTTTCTAAGGTAAAGCTGCAGTTTGTGCTGAAAGAGAGGAGGTCAGGTGGGAGCTGTGATGTGCTCTCACACAGGTGTGTGGGAAATGAGGACTGCAGAACCCACTGTAGAACAAAATTTTCCTGGACCCAAGATGCAGCTGCATTATATTATATTTGTGTGTGTGTGTATGTATATATAATGTGTGTGTGTGTGTGTGTGTGTATATATATATATATATATATATATATAATATAATGTGTATACATACACATTATATATAAAACATACTTACAAGCAAGTAGTGCAGTAAAAGGCTATTGTATTTTGAAGCATCAAACTCAGTTATTTATGGCTTGCTCACCTTGAGAATCTGATCTTGTGTTGTACAGGTGAAACTATTGCATTTTTTTAAGAGCTTTTCTGTATATCAGTCTGTTGTTTTTTTTTTTGTCTTTTCCTTACAGGCGAGTTCTTTGATCAAAGCTAAGGAACCCAACACGATAGATGTAGATCCTTCTGAAAGCACTCACTTTCGGGTCATCCAGAGTGCTCCTATAGAGGAGTTTAACGGTGTGTCTCCTCTACCTGCCCTTGGACAGACAGATGCAGCAACTGCTGATGAAACTGAGCCTTTGCCAGCTGAGACAAATAAGCCAGAGACAGAATCTGCAGGAGCAGCTGTACTATCGTTGCCTGCCAATGAGGATATAAAACAAGCTGCAGCTTGCTCAGCTCAGGCAGTTGGCAAGACGGATTCTCCTTCCAGAAAGAAAGGTAAAACTTGATTCTTCATATTTATATGTATGATTTTGTTTTTTAAAGTTCATGGTGATAAAGCACTCCATTGCCATATAAATTGATCTGTGCCCTTAGGACACTTTCAGACTTGGAAAGGAATAAATTTTACAAAGAACACTCAAAACCTGAGTTGCTCACAGTATAGAAGGACAGAAGTTTTCATTTGTTGGGTATTTTTGGCAAGGCTGCAAAATTTGCTCCGAATTCATCAAATATGGTTGAATTCAGAGATCTTGTTTTTTGGCACATTCCCACTCTAGATCTGTTGATTCACTTGCTCTGACCACATTCAGAGTTATTGTGCATGGCTGGTACTTGTTGAGTCTCTCTGTTCTTGTACAGTGATGTAGCATGGATTTTTACACAAACAATAGATATAATCTAAATTGAGCAATTTTAGTTATGTATTCTTAGTATGCATCTTGTCTTGAATTTGTGAGATGTCTGCATTTCTGTTTCCTAACTTTTGGGATCTATACCTACTGTATTTTATTGCAAGTGTTAGTCTTCATGTAAAATATACTTGCTTACAAAATGTTACATTTTAGAGCTCTGATTATTTTATAATTATGAAAATTCTACATAAGCCTGCTTTGTGCAGGTGTTTTATCAGTAAGCATACAAGCTTATAGCAATTTTCACAAACTTTTTGATGTCTTTGTCTTTGAAGTCAAAAAAGCCCAAGTTAGTGACCAACGGTTTGCAATTCCCAGTGAATCCTCTGAATGAGGAAAGCTGCAGCATATCTCACAATTCTCCTCTGTTTTTCCATTTGTGTTCCAAGTGTGAGCAATGTATACAAGCAACTTGTTTTGAAATTTTAGGCAGTACTATTTTATGCAACTGCAGTTCACAGACTGTTACGACTTGTCTTCTTTCTCAATCCTAAAATGAATAGCTAAATAGCAATACCAATTCAGACTTCTTACTTAGAAGAGACTTGTTAATAGGCTTATTTCTACCATCCCTTACAGACAAACGAAGCCGGCATCTTGGTGCTGACGGTGTCTATTTAGATGACCTTACTGACATGGATCCAGAAGTTGCTGCGCTTTACTTCCCCAAAAAGTATAAGTTGTTTGCTTACATTTCTGCTGCTTGTGTAGCTTTCTTCCTTTTCCACTGAGATCAAATGGTTTGTGCCAACCAGATGAGGCTTCTTCTTCAAAAGAAAGTTTTATTTTCTTTCAGTCTTCACCACAGTTTGTGGAAATGTCGGGGCCTTTAGGTGGCTTGGTATTTGGGCCTAAGAGCTGTGCTCAAAATTGATGTTACATTTTGGTAAACCAAGCATCACATACTGATTGTGCATCATTACATAATGTACACTGATGTTTGTGTGTGTTACTCACATGCCCTGGGAGAACAGTTGGCCGTGGGATATATATATTCCCCGTGTCCTTGCTCATTACTGGTACCTTACTGTTACCAGCATAAAACTATTGCTCTTATATTGTTCTACTGTGGGTAATGACCTATAAACAATATGTTAGAAAATCATTTTTTAATGATGCATGGTAGACTTTCTTATAAAAGTATTTAATCCCAAACAAATTGGAACTTTTTTTCAGTCTTTATCGGAATCTCTTCACGTTTCACATCATCTTTGTCCATCACATTCTAGTCGTTTCACTAAAGTAGTTGAGCAACAATTAAAGTGGCTTCCATTTCTCTTTTTTTTTTTTTTTTTTTCTTGTTTGCTTAAAATCAGCTGTTGTTACATTAGTGTTTCAACAGAACAGAGAAAGATTAGTAACATGAAGGAGGAGGTTGGATTGCAAATTCCATTCTCAAATGCATTCCTATAAATCTGGAATGGAAAAGCAACTTGATGAGCCTGCGTTTCTTCATAATGATCTCATCTATATGCATTTGATTAAGAAATAATACATAACAGTATCCTCTTAAAATTTTCAATTCCTAATAGCTTGTATATGCTTATATGCATATTCAATATTCAAAACATTTATATACATATCTGACAAATGTACAAACTTTGTTTGGGAACAATTCTCCTAGTATAAATTTTGATTATAGCCATCTTAGTTTATCCTCTAAGCTTTTACTGTATATTATTTTTTCTTCTTGTAAATAAACTGTAATTATACATGGGTAGTTTAGGAAATTTAGTAGAGGCGATCTAATTCTTAAGGACAAGTGAGATCTGTGCTACTTTGTTTAAATTTATGGCAAAAGCCAGCAAATTTATTTCTCTTTATTCTTCAGCATGCATCTGATCTAAACAGTATGATGTTGAAGAGAGAGAATTTAGGAATGGATACGTGAAGAATGAATGTCTGATTTTTCTTTTTCAGTGGAGATAACATACAAAACAGAAACGCAAATGACACAGGGCCACGGTCTGCCACCCATTCTCCACAGTCTTTTGGGAGCTCAGGTGCTGACAGTGGTGTTGAAAGCACCTCAGATGGAACCAGAGATTTGCCCTCCATTGCCATTTCTCTCTGTGGAGGCCTCACGGACAACAAAGAGATAACCAAAGGTATAGATTGACCTGCGATACAGGCGTGTGTGCTCAACCAAGTCTGAGCGTCGTTTATCAGGGGAGCAGTGCCCTCCTGTGGCTGTATGTAGGAATATGTTTAGAAAACGCTTCCTGAAATGACAAATTTGCTAGATTCTTTTCGTAATTAGAAGGTCTTTATCATTTCACTATTTTTAACACCTTTTAGTAATCTAATGTATGCTATGTTTTTTAAAAATGTGTGTGTATTTCCTGATAATACCGATTTTATATCATAGCAGTGTGCGTGGTGCTTTTGTTACCTGGTATAATGTATAGCCAGGAAGTACTGTGCTGTCCATGCCAGGAATTAAAAAGATGGTCTGGTCTGTAGATGGCAACAGCTGCTGTGCCTTCCATTTCTTGTGTGACTCTTGAGAGAAATCATTTGAGAGTGTTTGGTTCTTTAAACTTTCAGCTGCATTCGATGAAGATAAACGGTTTAAAAAAAGCAAAATCTGCAAAAACATGGAGTCATAAACCCATGAGCCTGATGTTATGCTGATTACTGTTCAGAAGCTAGTTATTATGCATTTTGATTATATTGTAATTTGAGTTATGCTTGTTATTCAGATCACCTGTAAACCGTGGGGATTTTGTTGAAGGAGCTGCAGTAGTGGAAAAGGTGTTTATTCATAGGTGATTATTATTTTACTGTAAGCTGTACAAATGGTCATGTTTTTGCTTATGGGTTTATGTATGTTTAAGCCCACCAGGTCCTATTCCTAATTTGGACAAAGGGTCAGTAAAAGGCATGAGGAAATATTCCCTACTTTTCTTAGAAGCCTAATTTTCCTCTTCACAGTTCTATCCCTAGACTTTCTCTTAGCTTGTATTTTGAAGGGGAAAATGCCCAGCAGTACACAAAGAAACCTTCAGAATCTTCTGAGATTGAAATTTCTGAACGTCTTGCTTCAGTATTTCTACTGATCTCAGTACCCCAGTAATCAAGGGCAAGAACTGAGAGTGAAAGCAATGTTTTCTTTTAGACTGGCCCATCCCAGGGGTAATCTATAAAAGCGTGACTTGTTTGCTTTTTTCTTTTCCCCAACAGAAGAATTCTTAGAACATGCAGTAACATATCAGCAGTTTGTGGACAATCCTGCTATCATTGATGACCCCAACCTTGTGGTTAAGATTGGAAATAAGTAAGTATATTTCCATGGAGTAAGTAAGGAGAAATGATTCTTACTGTTGCAACTAAAGCTCTGCTGTGGTACTTTGTTGTGTTAGACCAACATCACTATAGCTGAAAAATAGGTTTTGAGCTTTTGTAGCATAGATTCATTTAGAAGGACTCAGCTTTCAAGTGAATTCAAGCTTTTACTTACAGTTCTCCTTGAGGCTGAAGAGGAGCTTCAGATCACCTGCCACAGCTAACTGACACAATCTGAATTTCAAGAAACTAGTATTAAAAACTAATAGTATTCATTCTCAATTGGTAGAGTAAAAATGAAGTAGGATGTGAACTTGCTAAGGCTTGCCTTGATCCAATTTGAATAATTAATATTTCCAGGATTGTGATGTTCTACTTGTAAACCCTCCATATGCAATAAGTTGTGTTTATAAAGCTGAATACTTTTGCTAATATGCCTCTAGAGAAGCATCATTCTTTCCGAATTTGTCAGAGTTCACCCACTGGGTATGAGACTTCTGTTTCTGGAGGGCTAAAGATATTATTTCATATATTTGTGTTGCTGAGCAGTGCAGTGCTATGGTCTATGTCTGATGCAGTTGTTTGGAGGGTATTTTAACTTTGCAGCCACTTCCAGCTAGCATTTTCTGTTTAGAGTATAAGAGAGATGATGGCTTTGTGTTGCAGTTAGAATTTAAACTACCCTTAGTTGTAGAAATTGCTCATATAAATCTGATACTTAGTGCATCCTTATGCAATAGCTTTTAATTGCATATGGGATTGAGTACGTGATGACCTTGTTTCCTCCATCAGGGAGGAGAGGCATTTATTTCTCCTCTGCCATATATCTGATTTTTTTTTTTTTTTTTTTTTTTTTTTTTTTTTTTGTAGTAACGTTTACCTGCCTACTGGTGATTTGGAAAGAGAGGACAATACTTCTCTAATCATAATACAGTCTATAACAGTAGTTGAGCTGTGTTCAGCACATCATAGTAAAAGTTTAACATCCTACAGACTCAAGTTCCTAACATTTGTGTAGTGATTTGATGCAAAACCAGTGAAAGCTGCCTGTTTAAAACAAACAAACAAACAAAAAAAAAACAAAAATAAAACCAGAAACGAAGCTCATTTGCTAATGAGGCATTAAGTACCTGTACTAAAGAATCTTCACAGGTTTAACCTACTATATGATAAATACTAAATTGTGTATTGGAAATTTGGGATTACAAAATAAAGTAATTGTCTTTCTTAAATGCTAGGTACTACAACTGGACAACAGCTGGTCCCCTTCTGCTGGCAATGCAGGCATTCCAGAAACCTTTGCCAAAGGTGAGATTGAATATGAAGGTTGGTCAGAGTGGAAGCTTTGATGTTTTGGTATTTATTAAGGCATATCGTTAACTAAGGCAGATAAAAGGGGTTGTGTTATAAAGGCGTGTGTTTTCACACTAAACCATTCCCTTAGTCTTACTTATTTAGCTCGTAGTATAAGCTAGATTTGGTCTGTGAATAGTTTTTACTTTCTTTGGTCTGTGAATAGTTTTTACTTTCTAAGCTAAGATAATTACAAGTATTTTGAACTTGATCTCTTTATCTTCTCCTGTTTTCCTGCATTAATACAGATTGTAAACATAAGTTAGATTGACTCACCTTAATGTTTACTGTATCTGAATGCTGATGACCTGCTTCATTTTATCTATGTACAGCATAAATTAGCAAATAAAAATTGAAGTCAAGGATTTTGACCTTACTTGAATGCAACTTAAGTACTGGACAGGGAAGGTCTACAGCTTGTTAGTTCTCAATTTCTCAGTTGGTTGGTCATAACCATCCCAGGTGACAGATAGCTATGACTGTGACAGCTGTATGGTTGTTTATATTAAACACACTGATGTACTTAGTCCGATTACATGTGACCTAGTGCCAGAGAGATGATCAGGACAGAAATACATGTTACTGTGACTATTTATAAAGGAGTAAGTGTCAACATTGGCACTAATTTGTAACCTAGTTGGCCATGGATTTAGCATCCTTTGTAAACTAAACTTTACTTCTGTCCCTTGCAGTTCTTCATGTATCTTTGTATTTAATCTATTTAATTCTTTTGCCAAAAGTTGAAGTAATACTCTACTACTATGTTCTTTCTGTCTTAGTGCCGCAACACCTATTGATACAGACAGACAATATAAAATCATAGAATATTGCTAAAAGGGAGGGGTGCATAAGGATCATTGAGTCCAGCTCCAAATTCAATACATTAAACCGATCCTAATAGTCCTAAACATCTGATAAATCAGGCTTGAATTTCAGAGCATCACAGAACTAGATATTTTTGTGTGTTACTGCAGATATTCCAGTTGTCATCAAAGCCATGATTCATCTCATTAGCACATATTGGTCTCCATTGGCAATACAGGTAGTTACCCTGAATCCTCCAGTGCAGGGTAACTACCTTTGTAATTCAATATTTAGATGCCTGGTCCTAATGTTTTGTCTTTGGCTGAGGAAGAATAAGCAGAAGCAATAGGTATGAAATACTTTTTCCATTAAGGGGAAATAGCAATTCCTTCAATGATTTTATGGTTACACCGTTATTCATATAGGTCATGTGAAATTCACTGTTGTCTCTTCTGTACGCTGGTATCTTTCTAGACGATTTTCATAGGGTGAAGAAGCTAATACTTATAGTTGGCACAGTCTGTGTGATTGGAAAGGCTTAGTAGTTCAGACTGTACTGCTGAAATCACAATTACTCGTTTATGCTACCAGTCATTCTACTGGTTTTCTTACTTACTTACAAGAATTTTGATTAGCTGTAATAATGCAACTAAGGTGTAATATTAAGATACTTCATCAAAACAGGCTTTAAGAAGTGATTGAAAGCTCAATTATTATTATTAAAAAAAAAACCTGACATTCTGCAAAATACACTTAAGTGCTTAACTGTAAGCAAGTATATTATCTAATTAAAAATCAATAGTACATCTGCTTGAGGTTGTCCATATGTTTGATAACATCTTTAAACTGTAGCCATTGTTCTCAACAACTGTTATTTTCTCAGTAGCTCCATCTGCAGTTTTCATTTTGTGTCTAAAAAAACTTTGCTCAACTTCATTCCTCTGTCACATCTTTTTTTTTTTTTTTTTTTTTTTTTTTTTTTTATCTTTTAACTAATCAACAGTGCAATTTTATTTTGATATTTCATTCACAGTAGAGGCTGTCACAAAACCTGTGGCTAAGCTATTCTAGGACATACTGAACATTGTAGCCACCTTTATTGTGGTGTTTCCCCTTCTGCTTTTTTTGCTCACTCTCGTGGTTGGATGAATTCAAGTCTTGTTATAAATCTCTCTGATCATAGTTACTGGAAGAAACTTTTTCTTCTACTAGGAATCCAGTATATACAGAATATTGAAATTAGCAAAGGTTTAAAAGAAAAAGTACAAAACTTAACGCTGTCATTCAAGTTCATAGTATCATGCTAACCTCATTTAAAACTACTAACTTCCTTGATTTTATCCTAGCTTATTATGAGTTATGTACTTCATAGTAATTCATAAATGAAAATGACCATCTTGCATGCTGTTTTTTTTTTTTTTTTTTTTTTTAAATACTATTTTCCATGACAACTCTTTCAGGAAGTGATCTTTTTTTACTCATTTGTTTGTTGTGCTTTTTTAAAATATAATTTGCACTAAGTAATGTAGAACACAAACAAACAAACCAGTAGCTTCTCCATTCTTGGCATTATACTAATACCTACTTATGTTTTTTTTCCTCCTTTGATTTTTGTCCTTTTCATTTTTTCTTTTAAAAATTCCATAAGTATTCATGTTTAAGTTACTTCAGAGCAGTGCTGGATACCATTAGATTTTGCTTTAGTAGAATTTATGGTCCGCAGACAGTATGTTTACTTTTATTCTGTTTATTATCAGTTAAAATTGTGCATTTGCACTCTTTCATTTACATATATCAGGTTGTCCTTTGTTTTGGTTTCTTTTTATGTTACCATCCATTTATCACAGGCCACTGTGGAATCTATAATGAGAGACAAGATGCCCAAAAAAGGTGGAAGATGGTGGTTTTCCTGGAGAGGGAGAAACAGCACTATTAAAGAGGTAAGTTGGAAAGGCCAGCTGCCTTCAAGTTCATCCCTCAGAACTTTGTTTCATACCCACTTTGGCTGAGTATTTGCACGCTAGAAGTTGTTTAAACAGCATCTGAAGTCTGACTTCAGAAAGCCTTCGATCAGACCCTACCTAAAATGTTTGCTTGCACTATTTTGGTTCTGCTTTTTTTTTTTTTTTTTTTTTTTTTTTTCTCCATTATATAGATGGGAGACAGTATTATTTAACAAAATTTGTGTCTGGGAGCCTAGATTTGAAGAGGTGTGCCACATGTTTTGCCTACCTTTCTACAGTTTTTGCTCACAGCTGAAGAACGGAGATTTTTATGATGAGAGTGCACAGTAAAGTTCAGTAAAAACTTAAGGTGGAAAACTTACATTACTTTTAAAGTCATCTTAAATTTCTTTTCTGAATATTAGAAGTTTGTGGTAACAGCCTTAAAGCCATGAATGAACATTAAAGCACAATGAAAAAGGCAAAATTTTATATGAAATATTGATCTCCTGTCTAGACGTGTTTAATCTTTAAAGTTGGCTAATAAAACCACTTCATATTCATTTATACTATTGAAGCATTAGTACTTGGGGGAGATATGTTTTATGGTTGTACCTCAATAGATGAACTCTTAGCTTTGCTTGAAATAACCACAGTACTGGTCTGTGGATATGAGCTTTAGAGACTGAGATTTTAGTTTCTGCAGCTTGAAATAGTTAGAATTTCTTCCTCAGTGGAAGTGTTTGCTTATCTATAAAGCTGTAAATGGACAAGGGGAAGTTTTATTCTTCTTTGTTTCTCACGAGTCATTCACTACTCAAAAGTCTTTCTTCTTCTGGGAAGGAATTGATAGAACTTAGCATCGACTCAGAGTAAAAATAATGTGGAATGTTTTATTGGATTAAAGATTTTAATAATTCAGTGGAAGGTAACTCTATTTTTCCAGATGGTTTTGGTTTTCAAGTGAAATCTGGCTATTTGTGATTAACTGAGTAATTTGATTCTGGAACTTCAAGAGAGCCAGCTATGGGAAATCTGAGTTTTGTATCTGTGCAAAACTAAATCTTAATTCTTCTTCTGAGTTTTATATTTACATTGCTTAATTATTTTGCACAGCCTTTATTCAAGAAATCCATGCAATTTTTCCCTCTTTAATCATGGATAAAGTAACAGGGAATGCATGGAAAAAAAAACTGTACTTGATCTTTGCATGTAACTTTTTTCTTCTTTAATCAGATTTCCATGAATTTGTATACTTTCTTGTATTTTTATAGGAAACAAAGGCAGAACAAGGTATGAGTGGGAGTAGACTTAAAGGAGAAGACTCTTCACAGATGAGCATGGCAAACAGGTACCCAAGAAGTTTGCTCTACCTGAAATGAGCAAGAATTATAATTTAAAAGTGAAATCAAGCTGTTTCTATATTTGAACCAAGAAGTACTGCACAAAGTAAATATTTAATGCAATGAAAAATAAGTACTGTGTGAAGTAAATATTTGATGCAGTGAATTATGAATTGTGTGTAAGTGCAGCTATCAAGGCTATAAGCCATGGCAAGGTTGCAGACCTTGCAAGTGTGCTTTGGCATTTTTAGCTTATGGTTTGGCTGGTAATTCTATGACACATATTCCAGCCCTTTGACAAAAAAAAAAAAAAAAAAAAAAAAAAAAAAAAAAAAAAAAAAAAAAAGCAAACAATAATTGAAGCAGTACTGCAAAACTATTTACATCTCTCTGGAGTTTTCAAGGCAGCATCGTAGATTATCCCAGGTTGTTTTTAGTTCACATGTGCTAAAATCCTGATTTATGGCTTGACACTTTAATTTCTTCCTGCGTATTTTAGGAAGTTCAGGAGCCTAACACTTGCCAGGCTTCTTTTCACATGCAATAGGTAGGAAAGATTCCTGGTTGTTTTTTTTTTTTTATTAGTTCTTTTAAGGATTGCAGAAATCTGTTCATTCTGATGTTCCAAATTAATCATACTGTATAGCTAGAATCTCTGCCTCATAAAGGCTCTGTATGATGAGTCTTAGTTTTCCCCAGAAACTGCTGAGGGGATGAGATAGCCAGGGGCAGCTCTCCTATCTTGTATCATTGCTGTGCATTCAGTTTGGACTGTAAAGACAGCTCATACGCGTTGTGCTTAGAGCTGAAGAGGGCCATAATCATACAGATTTAAACATGCTTTATACTCGCTATGTGAAACTCAAGGGTCACCACGGTTGGAAAAAAAATGGAGTAGCTGTAGTTCTTTAAGCAGTTGCATTCCAGGAGAATGGGATGTAGTTCTTGGTTTGCTTGTCTCTGTTCTCTGAGTTTGAGATCTAACAGAGGAATCAAAAAGACTGAGTTCCTTTTTTTGATAAGTAACATTTAGGTCTGATATCTTTTACGTGGTTGTTGAAAGATAGGCTTTAAAGTGGGGTTAGGATTTCAAGCAGACAGAATTCTGTAGTCAGTGCTCTTTAAGTTTTAACTGATCTTAAAAATCTGTCATTAAGAATTTATTGCTTACAAACAGAGCACAAGTAGGATGTTGAATAAAGCTTTTGAGATGTGACGTTACAAAGGATAATAAGATGGATTTTATAATGTTGTTAGTCATGACATATGCCATCTTGATGATAGGTCAAGACTTCCTGACAGCAAAGAACGTCCAGCTGTGATGGAAACAGACCCAGTAGCTTTAGTAGTTTCAGAGATTATATTTGCAGGATCTGAAGGGATATGTTATCTTCTCTAAGTGATAGTTTTGTGTATTGTAGAAAAACTTTGCCTCTGTCTAAATGAGCTCAATCGAGTGGGTCTTTTTTGTTTTTATTTTATCCTGAATGAGATAATCCTGCAGATCGTGGAAAAGAATAACCTGATAATTGCTTTCAGAAAAAGGAGTTTTTTGATGATAAAATTCTAATCACTTGGTGTCGTATCCCACCCATAATGGAGGGGAGAAGGGATGACCAGATTGCCAAATTCTTTTATTAACTGCTAAGTTAGGGAAAACGAACAAAAAAGCAAAACAAAATACCAGCACAGCAAACTTCTTTTTCTTGCACTGAGAAATGAGAATTTTCTGTAGTTTCAGTATTTTTTTAATATATTAAAGAAACAATATATATAAAAATGAATACTTACCACTGAGTTTTTTTGAGTCAACATAACATATTGTTATCTGTTAAATTTAAGTGATGAAAACTAGCATATAGACAAGTGAAGCACAGAATCATGAGGGTTGGAAGGGACCCCATGGGAATCCAAGTATTAATAATGGGGAACAAGCATGAATGAAAATTCAGCACTCCATTGATATATTTAAAAGCCCTGCTGTGAATGACCTCTTGTGAAACAGGATCAGAGAATCAATAACTTATTTGGTGACTCACTGTTAATGCATTTTTAATGGATACTGAGATGCATTTACGGACATGATAGCATCATTTTCTGTGTGCACTGTTCCAGAATAAAAGATGAATCTTCTTCGAGCGATGAAGACCCTAGAGCTGCCAAACAAAACCTTGGGTCATTACAAGCCAACTCGAGTCATCTCTCATTATTGTCTGGAATCAGTTACAAAAAAACACTTCGACTAACTTCTGACCAGCTTGTGAGTTGGTTTTACATCTTTGTACTGAAATGTCATTTCTAATGCAACGAGAACAATATTGTTATCCAGACTTGTAAGGTTTAATTATTTCTTTACTTCTTACATTTAATTCCATCTTTTTACAGTAACTTTAAAGCTATCTTTTCCTTTTTCTTCTCAGTATTATACATGAATGTTCCTTCAGCAAGTGCTGAGGTTCAGAGATTCGGAGCCCATTTAGACAAATACCAAAACTATTTCTGAAGTGTTTTGCATCTGAGTATACTGGAACAACATCCTTTCTGTGTTGTGTAAAGTTTGTGTCAACCCAGAGGTCTCTTTTCTGCCACCACCCTCCCGTTAATAAACAGACAGGCATTCTTATGTAAATACAGTTCTTTGTTAATAACTTTTGAAAGAGCTACTTGTGCACTCACTATGAAGCCTGGCTATTAATTTCTTGTCTTCCTCTGTGACAGAACACATTCTGACTAATGGTGACAAAACTGTTGCTGCTCTGTTTTGCACGTGCCAATTGGATTTTGGAAAAATGGGCTACTTTAGTGAAACATTTTTTATCATCTTTCCTACAGCCAATTAATTTTCTAAAGGAAACTCATATGAGAAGTACAGCATTCTGCAGACTATTGCTTACTCCTAAATAGTTTGAAAGGAATTTTGAATTTTTCCCAAGAGATGAATGAAATGTGGTTGTAACTTCCTAAATCAAGCAGAAAACAAGGGTTACACAAATATATTACTTGCTTGCAAATATAAATGTCCTTTTAAGATACATAAACCTTGCAGTAATTAGCAGAAGTCAGAACTACTCTTAGATAGGATTCTTGATGGCACAGTAGATGGGATTCATCAGTTTCCCATCTGCATTCACACCTTCATTTTGCATATTAGCTCACTGAACAATTCAGTGCAATATAACTAAGAACACTTAAAGCAAGAAGCTCCTATAGGTTTTGTGAAAATGAATGATTGAGCCTACGAAAAGAGATCAAATCAGTAGTCTCATGCCAAATTAATTCCTAAGTGAAAGAGAAGGGCAGCAGGGTGGGAAAGTTAAGGAACTTTGGAAACTGAAGGATAATAGGTGGGTTATTATAGACTGGAAATGTGCCAGTGTGGATCCATAGAACATAAATCCACATAAAAGCACTCTGTCATTTTCACTGTTCATGGCACTACTTGTTACCCATGCTTCTCTCTCTATATCTTTATCATGGTATGAGAAACCTTCCATATTCATTATTCCATGTGAACCTTTCAGGATGCTCCTCCATATTGGTTACCATGAATCAGACTTTTTTTCATTCTGTTCCATAAATTAATGCTTCGTATTCAAAATATGTGACAAATCTCTTCTGACCTTACTTAGAAAATGGCTCTGCTGAAAGCAGTAAGGTTGTGTCCAAAGCAACAGCCATCTGTAGCTTTCTGTTCTGCATGATGTCTGTTTCACATGCTCAAATTGTTGATAATTCTGCTGATAATGTCTTGCAGAAAAGCTTAAAGCTGAAGAATGGTCCCAATGATGTGACCTTTAGTGTTACAACACAATATCAAGGTACTTGCCGCTGTGAAGGCACCATTTACCTATGGAATTGGGATGACAAGGTTATAATTTCTGACATAGATGGAACCATTACACGGTGAGTTCATGAAAAGGGGACTATTTATTTGCCTCTGTCCATTGCACTGAAAACCAGGGAATTTTGAGGAAAGGAATTGTATGTCAGTATTTTGTGGAGTCTGTTTTTTCTCTGCTTCAGTTTTGTTTGTTTTCAAACACTGCAAGATTCGCTGGCTAGAATCATTATTTCATAAAGAAACATGCCACAAGCACTCACTTCTCAGTGTTTCCCTTTTTGGTGTTTTGTGATAGCATTTACAGCAGTGTTGCGGGGCGTTCAGCAGAATCATAGGCTTCTTGTTCTATCAGACTTATGAGTTACAATAGATGCAAAAAAAAAAAAAAAATCCAGACAAACAAACAAACAATGAACAAAAGGATTTTCAAAACTAATCTGGGCTAAATTAAAATATTTGATTTGAACTGACGCTTGAACTTTTTTCCCATTGCAATTAATCAGTTGAAGGGCAAACTGTTTTTTGGTTGCCAACATGAATTAATTCCTCTGCCTTTTCTATTTTCTTAAGTTTCAGCAAAGTAAATGAGACCTACTCTTCTCTTTGTCTGGACAGTAATTGAATTCTTTCACCTTACAATACTACTGTGAATCCTAATCCATTGCCGAATCTTTTCTCTGTAAGATTCAAGATAATTAGAGTAGTTGGATTTCTTGCTGTGTATCCTTATAACAATTGATCTAGTGAGGTGCTCAGTTCTTTGTACTTTTAAATATTACTGTATTGTAAATAATTTTCTTCTATGTAGAGTGGGAAATATGTTGAAACTAGTATAACTGTATATGACCAACTGACAGCTTGGTTATTTGAAGAGGTTAGAACATTATCGCATGCTTGGAGGTTTACAATGCTTGGAGGTTTACGATCTTACCTACCTTGTAGTTAGACTTGGTTTATTTAGGAAATGTAAACCTCAAAAAGTATACTTAATACTAACTGGTCTACTCCATAGATCTAACTGGTAGTTTGTATGCTATAACTTCCTCCTTAACTTATGGCTCACTAGCTTATCTGAGAAAACAGGTCTTGGAGCACTAGGCTGATTAAAACAGCATAGATGTGTCAAGACTATCTTGAAAGAAAAGGGAATAATCTCGCCCTCTTCTGATAGTAATCAGTACTTTGTAGAAAATCTAATTTTCTTGTGCAGCTAGGTAATGTAATTAGGGGAATTTATATTAGTCTCATCTGTTATTAGTTAAAAGCAGTAAGTCTGTTTTTTGTTTTGTTCTTCATTTCAAATACATTGTTTTTCTTTTATTCAGGTCAGATACTTTAGGTCATATTTTACCTACTCTTGGCAAAGATTGGACACACCAAGGGATTGCAAAGTTGTACCATAAAGTGAGCCAGTGAGTATTCAGTAAATCTGTTCATATATCTGTGATTTGTGTGTGTTTATTCATTTGCATGTGAAAGTTGAAATCTTCATAGACTGTTACGCTTACAGGTTAAGAGAAATCTCATCACTATCTCTTTGCTTACACAGTATAACTATCTGCTGTCTGATAGCCAGACCAATACCTGCTTTGTGATACCAGGAATAGAAGTCCCCTGTCAGTTAATGAGTAGCAATTATTCTCTTAATTATCTCAAACACATACAGTTCAGTTTAGAAAAAATATAGTAATCTAAATGAGTTGTATAGCTTCAATAAGTGGAAGCTTTTGCAACCTGGGAGTTGCAACCTTACCATATGAGACCTTCGTGTCTATCCTTGAGGATAGACGTTGCAAAACATCTAAGGATTGTTTAGCTGAGGGTGGTCATTGCAGGTGGATTTCTTGCCAAAGCTTACTTGCCTGGAAGTTAGGTGTCTAATCTAAACTAATTGCTTAGTTCTTTTTCTTTTGAAGAGGTTAGTAGAGAGACATGAGTTTCTTTACCTGTTGTGCATGGATGAGGTCTAAAATACCTGAAATGAGTCAGTTTAGGAGAATTTCTGCTGTTTCCAGCAAGCAGAAAGGGAGTTGAGAGAACAAGTGTGGACTCCAGCTGTCTAAATATTAAATTTCTATACCGTAGTATCTATCTTGAGTAGGAATGGACCATTTAAGGTTCTCATTGTGTTTATATACAGTGATGGTGGTCTTTGTTACTGATTGTTATACGATTCATTTCATTTCTTGCCTATATGAATATTTGCTGTTAATTTAAGTGGCAAATTTACAAATGTTAAAATATTTTAAAGGTTTTGAAAGTTATTGAGCTACATGTTGCACAGGGCCTGAGGAACTAGAAAAACTTGATGTTTCCTCTGAGTGTGAATAGGAGAACTGTTCTGAGAATAGTGAGCTTTGTCAGTAGTAGTTGAGGGGAAAAAGAGAAGCTAGGAGAAAAGTTAATCGATATCTGAATGGGATCAGATGAAGTGTCAGAAGTTGTATTCTGATATTCATATATCCAGATTTTTAGCATCAACAAGTTTTAGTGGTTGTTTTCTGTTCATGTTGAACAGACATTGGGGAAAAAAGAATGTATTTCTTAGATCACATTCAGCTGCTCTTGTATATTGAGCTTACCACAGCTGTTTGAAGAGCCTCTGGAACATATCTTAACTGTTGTTTTATAATCTGACTAGTTCTGTGCACTGTGGTTATGTTAGGACTTGTTTATTGCTTTTTATTTTACGTAAATGATAAATTATAAACCATGGTTGGTGGATTCTAAATTATGCCAGAGACGCTGGTCCATCCTCTAGTTCTTGTAAAGACATACAAGATAAGAGAAAAAACAGGACAGCATGTGAATTCAGATACTGGAACACTGTTTAGTTCCTGTGTGTGGCCTCTGCGTTGTCTTTGGTGAAAATGTTAATTTCTTTTTAATTGCGGTAGTTATTTCTGTGCCTGTCAGTACTTAGGGCTTTGCTGATCGAAAACACAAAAATGGGAAAATAGATTTGAGTCATGTCATTTTTAAAATTACTGAGTTAATTATGTAGCAGCTAGACGTTACAGCTGAACGCTACAGAAATATAGGATAGCTATATTTAATGGCCTGCGTGTGCTGAATACGCATTTGTTTATTTCACATTCTCTTGTAGGACTTGCAAAAGGAAATTCTATGAAGTTGAACTATTGCCTTTCGACTCTGTTCTGTTCTGACAGAACTTGTAACTTCTGCTGAAACTTTTGTTTCAGTGTCAGTACAAAGATTGCAGAACATTATATGAGAAATAGTTTTACTTTGCTCAGAGTTGAAAGGAGCATGTTGCTGCTGCACGTAGACCAGGTTTCCCCACCCAGAGGCTCAGAAGGCTGGACTATGACGTTGTTAATACAAAGAAGGTTATTCTGCCATTGTCTGTTTTATGCCAAGTGCTTCCTCTTAGCAGATATTGTTTTAGCTAATTCAAATGTCTGTGGTTTTAGTATGCAAGGGTAAGTAGAAAGTCATGCGAAGTTATAAGAAGACGAGATAAGCCCCTTGTAAGTGTAAATCATTAACTGTAGTGGAACCAGGCAGATTTTTATTGTCCAGCATTGTAACACAAATGTTGTTCCTTTTAAATATAGCTGTTAACCACCGTGATTGATTCATGTGAGAACAAACTCACAACATTATTTATTTCAAAATGCCTGCTTTGTTTTTTAACAGCATTATCATCTTTTGTTCCTGTTTATAGAAATGGATATAAATTTTTGTATTGCTCAGCACGTGCTATTGGAATGGCAGACATGACCAGAGGATACTTGCACTGGGTCAATGAACGTGGAACTGTGCTGCCACAGGGGCCAGTGTTGCTGAGTCCAAGCAGCTTATTCTCAGCTTTGCACAGGTACTGCAGTATCACTTTTGTGTAGAAAGAAATTTGGAGGTTGGTGAAAGCTGAATTGTCAGCGTTTTAATGGGACCTATTGAAATATTCATAATCATTTTACTTACATAGTGGTCCAAAGTTGAATTTAAAAGAAATTATGCTGAAGAAAAGACCACAATAAAATAGATAAGCAAATTGCTTAGTTTCTCTCTTAAACACACCCCAACATATGTCTGCAATCGCTGTCTAGGTAGAAATATTGCCTGTTTTTTTTTTTTTTGTTGTTGTTGTTGTTGTTGTTTCTGTGTGTGTGTGTGGATGATAAATATTTATTTCTTGGGGGCTACAAAGAAGTTCACCTGTAAATAAAATGAACTCTTTATAGTCCTGACTATATTGTGCTTTTCTACCTGGACAATAATTTTTTTTGTAGGTGTTGTTGTGTAACAAATAAATCATAACAGCACAGATATGAATATTGTACCTTTTTCCTAATTCAGCAAAGTATGTCAAGTGATTACTGAAAATATTTTAGGCTGTAAAAACGCTGCTGTGACAGGATTTCATTAGAATTTTTAATGGAAAGTTGTTCAGATGTTCTCCTGATTGAATGACATGCTACAGGCTGTCTTACCAGTCATGTTCTAAATATAAGACAGCGTGGAGGTACGCAGTGTTCTTCTTAGACTGATTAAATGATAGTCATGGTAAAAGCATAGCTGCTGTCATCTTACGTTCTTATATCTAGAAATAAATTTCAAGTGATACTCTTTTGAGTATCATCTTTAGACTAAAAAACGCCCATTTATTTCTCAGCTTCTTTGGTGTGTGGGCAACATATGACTAAATTGTTACCTGTGGATTTATTCACTGTGGTTTTAAGGGAAAGACGGTTTTATTCCTCCTTTGCGCATGCTCAAACTTTAATTTATATGTGAAACTACTCTTCCAAAGGGCTGTAATATTCCTATGAAGTGTCCGTGCTACTTGCATTTTCCTTGGCATATATGATACTAGGATGTAGGATTCTGAGCATCTTGGGTACTTTTGTGTCATGCTGGTGTCTTTCTCTGTTGTGGGAACTCCAGACTTCGCCACCTGTTCAGCATCCTTGCCAAGAGAAGCTCTTATGAAAGGGCTTTTACCCAGAGATGAGGCAGCTCCTCTGTTCATTAATGAATTCTGTATTCTGTAAGAAGCAACTGAAAAGAAATGGAAGATTTCTTTATTACTTCTGCTAGTTAGCAGTGATGGATGACCCTAACTGTAGAAGCACCTTAACAGTCTGAGGTCCTTTTAGTACATATGTTAATTACAATCCTTTAATTTTTTTAAAAAAATTGTGATTAAAAAACCATACATAGTGGTGGCTAATATAATCTATGTGAATCATATTGCAGTTCTCAGGAAGCAGTTCACTTAATTTATGCTTAAGCTTCAGTAGAAGTCCTCTTGTTTTGGAGGATTTATTTACTGTGGCCATCACATAAGCTTAGGAATGATATTTTTGTCTTGGTGGCCATTGTGACTTCCAAATGAAGATTTATTGGAGAAAAAGTTTTGCAGAAGTCCTGAGTAAA